ACCGTTGTTTTTATGGATTCTTTTTTCTTCTTGTTTATCTGATTGGTTGTTTTTTGCTTCCTTATGTTACAAATCTTTGATTTGATTCTCAACTTCATCCACTCTACTATTTTTTACCTGTAAATTGTTCTTTATTTCAATTAGTGTATCCTTCATTTCTGTCTGGATCTTTTTTATGATTTTGAAGTCCTCACTAAGTTCCTTGAGCATCCTTATAACAAGTGTTTTGAACTCTGCATCTGATAGATATAGATTGTTTATCTCTCTTTTGTTTTGATCTTTTTTTGGAGTTTTGATCTGTTCTTTCATTTGGGCTATGTTTCTTTGTCTCCTCATTTTGGCAGCCTCCTTGTGTTTGTTTCTATGTACTAGGTAGATCTGCTATGACTCCCTGTCTTGGTAGCGTGGCCTTACGTAGTAGGTGTGTCCCATAGGGTCCAGGGGCACAACCTCCCCTATCACCCAAACTGATATGTGCCCTTCGTGTGAGCTGAGACACTCTCCTCTTGTAGTTGAGACTTGGTTGCTTTTGGAAGGTCAATGGGAGGGGTTTACCTAGGCCAGTCAGCGGCAAGGACTGGCTGTGACCACTGACCACCAATCTCCACCATCCATGGAGGATCAGCTGTGTGGGAGTAGGTTGGTGATGTGGTCTGTAGCTCTTCACTTGGTGAACAGGTTCTGAGGTTTCCCAGGTGGTGCAGCCCCCACCTGGGAACCTGTGGTTTGCCCATTGCTACCCTGTCTGAGCTATAAAGCAACCTGAGATGGCTTGTGATAAGCTTAGAGATCCCCAGGTGAAGCCAAGCTGTGAATCTAGGGTGGCTGCTGCTAGTGCCAGGCCTGGGGCCACTAAGCAAGAGATATGGGGCTAGGGGCTCATTGAAGCTGGCTGTTGCTTGTTTGACAGGATTTAGGAAGTTGTGAAGCATGAACAAAGGCCAGCCTTTCATGTGGAAAAGCAGCTTTGGTGGGCCTGTAAAGTGGGTGGGACAGAGTCTCTGGCGATCTCCAGGGCAGGGAAAAACAGTGTTAGTCAGGTTAAAGGAGGAGTCTCAGATATGGCACCAGCCTGACAGCTCTGTGGCTCTGTAGAGGGTTCAGAAAAGGGACAATGGCCTCTGCCTGCCTTTCTGTCTGAGAGAAAGCTGTCCTCCAGCTCTTGCCTCGATGCCAGACACTTCAGTTCTTCCTTGTACACCCGTGATGGAGCTTAGAAGTGGTGAGTCTGAGTAAGTCCTTGTAATGGGTTTTTTAAGAGGAACTGCTTGAGACTGGCAGTTTCTTCCACCAACTCAATCTCCACTGGTTTTTGCAGCCAGAAATAATGTGGACTTTTCTTCCTGGCACTGGAACCCTGGGCTTGGGGGGACTCCTTGCTCCCAAGATATTCCTCCTGAATTTTTATCCACCAAACATGGATGTGGGACCAGTCTATTCTTCCCCTCTGCCCCTCCTACCAGTCTGGGTGGATGTGGTTTCTTTAATTTGTAGTGGTCAGACGTCCATTCAGCTTGATTTCTGACATTCCTGAGTGATTTTTTTCATATTTTACTTTTAATTTTGATGTGGTTGTGCAAGGAGGTGATCCATGTTTACCTGTGCCGCTATCTTGACTGGAAGTCCACTCTGATTTTATTTTTTTCATATCATTCCCATTATGTTTATTACATTTTATACTTTGTTTCTTCTTCCCCCCCCCATTGGTTTTTTTTAAAAGATTCATTTGTTGATTGATGTGTTTATTGCCATTTTCATATTTTCAATCATTCATATTTTTTTGATAGCTTGGGTGGGTAGAGTAATCGTGGTTGTAGGTCCTGGCTTCTCATCACTTTGACTATTTCTTGACAATCCCTTCTGGCCTGCAAAGTTTCTATTGAGAAATCAGCTGACAGTCTTATGGGAGCTCCCTTGTAGATAACTAACTGCTTTTCTCTTGCTGCTTTTAAGATTCTCTTTTTGCTTTTAACCTTTTGCATTTTAATTACGATGTGTCTTTGTGTAGGCCTCTTTGAGTTCATCTTGTTTGGGACCCTCTGTGCTTCCTGGACTTTTATGTCTACTTCTTTCACCAGGTTAGGGAAATTTCCATCATTATTTTTACAAATATATTCTCAGTTTCTTTCTCTCTCTCCTCCTTCCAGGACCCCCATGATGTGAATGTTTGGTACACTAGAACTTGTCCCAGAGGCTCTTTACACTATTTTCATTTTCTTGGATTCTTTTTCTCTTTTTACTGTTCTAACTGGGTATTTTTTTGCTTCCTTATGTTCCAAATCACTGATTTGATTCTCTGCTTCATCTATGCTACTGCTGATGCCCTGGAAATTATTCTTCATTTCAGTTAGTGTATCTATCATTTCTGACTTTTTCTTTTTTATGATTTCCATGTCCTTTTTTATGCTGTTGAAGTTCTCATTAAGTTCACCTACTGTCTCTCTAAGTTCATTGAGCATCCTCATAAACAGTATTTTGAACTCTGCACATAGTAGATTGTTTGTTTCCATTTTGTTTAGTTCTTTTCTGGAGTTTTGTTCTGTTCTTTCACTCGGGACATGTTTGTCTCCTCATTTTGGCTGCTTCCCTGTGTTTCTTTCTATGTGAGGTAGACCTGCTACCTCTCCAGGGTTTGGTAGAGTGGCCTAATGTAGCAGGTGTCCTGTAGAATCCAGTGGCACAGCCTTCCCACTCACCCAAGCTTGGCACTCCAGGTGTACCTCCCACCAGCCTGTGGGCTGTGTACACCATCCTGTTGTAGTTGAGGCTTGATTGCTGTTGGCATGTTAATGGGAGGGATTTACTTCCAGGCCAATCAGCTGCAAGGAGTGGCTGCAACCATATGGAGGATCAGCTGTTCTGGGGCCCACCCCACAGAGCAGAACTTACTTCAGCAGGGCTCTGGTGTCCACTGAGCCTGCCTCTTGAGTGTGTTGCTTGTGCAGGTGGCTGGGTGATGCTTTGACGTGGTACAAAGCTGTCTACTGGTTGCACTGGCAATGTCAGCTGCCACCTGTGTTTTGCTTGGGGCCACCCAGTATGAGCTATAGAGTAATCTACAGACGGCTGCTAGATTTTCTGGGCTTGGAGGTGCCCACAGAAGGCCAAGCTGTGAACCAAGTCTGGCTGCTGCTAGTGCCAGGCCTGGGGACACTTTGTGAGAGGTATGGGGTATGCCAAGGCCAAATGCTGCTTGTTTGAGAGATTTTAGGAAAGTAAAGTCTGAAGCATGAGCCAAGACAGGCCATTTGTATGGAGAAGCCACTGGAAACAGCTCGAATGAGCCTAAAATTGGTTGGGATGGGGTCTCAGGGAATCAACAGGGTGAGTCCAACAGTGTGAGCCAGGTTGATGGAAGCTCAGATGTGGTGCCCACCTGCTGGCTCTGTGGGTGGAGGACTCATCAAAGGAACAATGGCCTCTGCCAGCACTTCTGTCTGGGAAAGAGTTGCCCCTCCAGCTCTCATTCAGCTGCCAGACAGTTCAGTTCATCCCTGTATGTGTCTGGTGCCTTTCAAGCTGCTGCCACAGCGCTGGTCCTCGGGACTCCAGAAGCCCTCCATCTCACTTGGTCTCACTCCCTGCTGGTTTTTACCACCAATTTTTATCCACCACACATGGGTGTGGAACCAGCCCATTATGCTGCTCTGCCCCTCCTAACAGTGCCCATGTGGCTTCTTCTTTAAATGCCTAGTTGTAGGACTTCCACTCAGATTTCAGGCAGTTCTGAATGATGGTTATTCTGTAATTTAGTTGTAATTTTGTCAGGGTTGTGGGAGGAAGTGAGCACTGCATGTACCGACGCCATCCCATTATTATTTTTAATGATGTCTCTTACATTAACAGCTCCCTCAGTGAGGACTGCTCACTTGAGAGCGCAATTCCCGTTCCCTGTGAGCCTCCTCCGGGAGGGTTCCCCTTTTTGTACTGTGTCTGGCCACCCTTGGTCCTGCATGGTGGCAAAGCAGTGAGGGGTGGGAGCCCAGCCAGCTTCTGCTCTTTTGGGCCAGCGGCGAGAACTGGCAAACACCAGCCTGCTCTGGAGCCATAGGAGGGGCTGCTGGCAGGCTTCTCCGACAGAGGACAGTAACTGTCCCAGCCTCAGTGATTTGGAGCTGTACCCCGGCCCTTGTTCCGAACCAGGTGCCGTCCCTCGACTCTGGAACATGGATACAGCTCCTCCCCAGGGAATTCTTAATTGAGATCATGTTTGCATGTGGTGATTCTTCCCTCTCCCTTTCCTTCCTTTCTCTTCTTAATTAAGGTGCCTTCTGGATTGTGTGACAACTCGGATGTTACAGAGTTCTGTCTGGTCGAATTATATTACAAGTAGAAATATCATACACTAGAAATGCTGGAGTTTCCAAGGATGTGTAGGTTTTAATAATGTTTTTACTTATGAATCTTAGAGAATACAAATATAGGACGTTTCTTATTTTATAACATGTAAAGTACACAAATGGAATAATTGCCTATTTTATCAGAAACTCTGAAAATAAATGGTAGAATTTGTCAAATGTGTGGCAGTGTGTGGTCACTATGCTAGAACCGAGTAGGCCAGTCGGAAGCTGTGGCTGGTCCTGGGTGGCGTCTGGTGAGGACGCCCTCCGTGCGGGTGCGAGGCTGGGCTGCCGTGGCCACTGCGAGCTAGACTGGACGCCAGCCAACGTGACTCGTTCTCTCGTAGTTGTGACGGCACTACGGGTACAACGAAAACGTGCAGCCTTTGTATGTAGATGTGGTAGGGTGGGTACTTTTATGACATGGAAGGCCTTACAGAGGATCACACCAAGTCCTTTAAAAATGCCAAGGTGAGCCCTGGCTGGTGTGACACAGTGGACTGAGCGCCGGCCTGTGAAACGAAAGGTCGCCAGTTCGATTCCTGGTCAGGGCACATGCCTGGGTTGCAGGTCGGGTACCGGGTTGGGGTGCACGAGAGGCAACCAACTGATGCATCTCTCACACATGGATGTTTCTCTCCCTTTCTTTCTCCCCCACCCTTTCTAAAAGTAAATAAATAAAATTTTTCTAAAAAGTAAATAAATAAAATCTTTAAAATAAATAAAAATGTCAACGTGAGGCTTATATTTTGTAATACAAGCATTCAAATTGGAGCTAAGTTACATTTCTTTTATTACCTTTTGGGTATCTGATCAGGAAACAAAACTTTTTGTTTACGATGATGCAATAAACTCCGCATGTGTGGTCCACCTTTGCACTGCCGCTACTGATTTGTAACTTGAAAAGGCCAAGGTGACCACAGCCCAGCCCCGCTCACCCAACTCACAAGGTGTAGACAGGAGTTTGAACTGACCTAGTGAACATGAAATAAAGCCAAAATTTGATTTAAAAAATAGTTTTGTGATACTTTACTGTTTTAGCTACAATTTACTTAAATAATCCTTAATTGACAGACATTTGATCGGTATTTTACTATTAAAAGCGTTTCAACGCCTATCCCTTCCATACCTCTTTTGGTATCTGAGGAAATCTATAGTGTAAGTCACCAGAGGTGGAAATGCTGGATCAGAGGGTATATAACTTCTCCAGAAATTGCCAACTTTCCTCTGCAGAGGTTGCCATTTATGTGTCTACCAGCGCTGTATAAGTGGCTAGCATTTTACATAATTGAAATTATACTGACTATATATTTTTAAAAATTTCACACTATATCAAAAGTATTTTCTTACATAAAAACTATTCATACACAATGAAGGATGGTGAAGGGATTGGCTGGAGTGCATTTATGCATGACCCACGGATATGAACAATGACAGGGGCACTGCCTTAGGAAGGGGAGGGGTGTGGCCGGCTGGAGGTGGCCAAAGGGAGAAAATGCAGGGACAAAGGTAAAAGCATAAACAATAACAAACTATTCATAAACAGCCCTGGCTGGTGTGGCTTAGTGGATTGAGTGCTGGCCTGTGAACCAAGGGGTCGCTGGCTCGATTCTCAGTCAGGGCACAGGCCTGGGCTGCGGGCCAGGTCCCCAGTAGCGGGGCATGCAAGAGGCAATCATACATTGATGCTTCTTTCCCTCTCTTTCTCCCTTCCCCCCTCTAAAAATAAATAAATAGTCTTTAAAAAAACTACTCATAAACAACAAAAATCCTTTAAAATTATAAATGTTCATTGTAGAAAGATGACCTTATGGATATATAGCCTTGTATATATGTATATTTATTTACAGACTTTTATGTGTATGTGTGTGTATGTGTACCATTGTTGGATTTTGGCATTCCTAGACTGCTTTCTGAAATTTAATATATCATGAACATTTTTCTTTATTACCAAACATGAATGTATCACCGGATTTATCTCATTATGTTATTTTTTATGGTTTTTTTCCCCAGAGGGAGATGTGAAGCTTAGACAGCCCCTTGGCCTGCCTGGCCTCCCTGTCATTAGGGGCTGACAGCTCTGACAGCAGAATTCTGGGTGCCCCCCCACCGCCCCCACCGCCGCGGGATCTCCTTTGACTCCAGGAGAGGAGCCAGCTCCAGACCAGAGCCCGGGCTTCCTGGTCTTCTTACTCCTTCCCTGTTCCTTGATCCGAAAAGGCTTCCAGGCTTCAGAGAAAGTGCAGAGAGTTGATTCTCATGTAGCGGGAGAAGAGCACATAGAGCCGGCGGAACCAGAGGAGCTGGCTGCGGTGGCAGGACATGGCTCTCTGGAAAAATCAGGGAAGCAGCTATGAAACACTGGCACTGGAGCAGTTTCCAGTTTTTCCAGTTTTGTCTTCCTCCCAGTAACACACCTCATGTGAGAGCCAGCCTTGTCTGGCTTCTTCCGATGGCCCTCGGAACTTGCCGGACTGGCCTCCAACCCCTGCCTCCCGTCTGCCACCTCAACTTACTCCCCGGTGATAATAGCAGATGATGCTATTGGCAGCGAGAGCGCTCAGTCTCCAGGCACTATTTCAATGTAACAAACCAGTGAGTTAAGTACTATTATTATTGCTTTAGACAAAATAGGTGAGGAAACTCATCAATCTCAAATAGCTAGTAGGCAGTAGAGCTGACATTTGAGGCCAGAGGCATCGGATCTATTCTGGAGCCTTCTTTCTTAATCACTTTGCTCCAATCCTTCACATACAGAACATGTACAGGGATGTTTTGCAGGAAGCAAGCTGGAACACTGTCCTCTGAATTCAGTAGGCTGGGAAGGTACCATCATCATTAGAGGAAAGAATGGTACACGTAGGTATGGGCACCCTTTGCCACCCAGTGGAAGACATGTTTATTATCTTGTTACTCAGTTCTACTGTAGTTCAGTTTTTAAATAGAATAGATCACAGCAACTGATTTAACTATATGTAAACATATAAAAGTATAAATGGTTCCTGCCTGCTTTTCTCTAAGTATCAAGATGAATCTTCTTCTCTCAGTTAAAATCATTACAGACCTGTGTCTGGACAACTGATTTTATATCTACTGTCAGATCATACATGGCTTTAAGGATGTAAGCACACCTGTAATAACCACAAGCTGTAACTGGCAAAGGGAACTAGCACCACAGGACATATTCAGGCAAAGTATGATACAGCATTGTTTCAACAGGAAGTTCAACTAAATTTTTTAAATTAAAATTATTTGCAGAAACACATGGATGAACTCACAGGATAGTGTTAACATTTTGAAGACCACAGTAAAAATAAAATGTTCATTTTAGAAAAAACTGGAGCAAAGGGATGAACTTTATAGTCCAGAGATACTTGTTCTGTCTACTTAGAATAGTTTCCATGTTGTAAGAATTCCCACACCATGCTACCCAAGTTGCCACTTTATTTGGATCCCCCCAAACTTTCGATGACTTTTCAGTATCCACTCAATAAGATGGGCACTTACAGGGATTATCTATTTATTGCCAATTTGGTTTCTTACACACTTAACTTTTCTATTACTTTTTGTTCAAATTTTCCAAGGGAATACTACAAAATATCAAAACTGTTTCTCCTCCACCCTCCCCACTGTAGCATTCGCATTACATGTCTTTCAAACTGTGATTTTGCTGGCTGTCCAATACTCACTCCCCTGCCGGCCCTTAGTCTCTTTTTTTGCTATCACAAAGCATAGTACTGAGCATTCTTGCTCATAAATCTCTGGACACATCTCTGTTCATTTTTTTAGGGTGAAATTCTGGAGATAAAAATTATTAGGTCAACATATAAATTTATTGTATTGTACATGTAATAATGATTATTTTATAAAGTTTTAAAAATGAAAGGAAAAAAGTAAACTCAGCTAGAATCCTACCACGCAGAGGTAATCAATACTGATATTTTTGCATGTTTTGACTTTTTTCATGTGTGTATGTGTGCAAAATGTATATATACATATATGGTTCTATAACCTATTTGTTTTCACTTACTATATCAACAATATCAACAATTTCTGAGATTTCTGACATTTATTACTATTACTTCCCTAAAAAGTTATATCAGTTTACACACCTATTTCATTTAATGCTCCAGTAATAGGTTCTATAATTTGATCGTTTCCATTTTGCTAGCAAAATGTTATTATCTTCAATTTATCTTTTATTTTAATTGTAGTAGAAAGCACACAATATAAAACTCACCATCTTCGCCATGGCCTTAATCACAATGTGACTGATCTTCAGAACTTTTTTATCTTGCAAAAATAAAACTCTATACTCATTGAACAGCTACCCATTTCCTCCCCTCACCCCTAGCAACCACCCCTCTTCTTTCTCGTCCCGTGATTTTGACTAGTGAGGACGTCTTCTAGAAGTAGGATCACACAGTAGTTGTCCTTTTATGACTAGCTTAGTTCACTTTGCATAATGTCCTCAAGATTCATACATGTTGTAGCATGTGACAAGGCTTCCTTCCTTTTATTAAGGCTGAAATTCCATTGTAGGTAGCTGCCACATTTTCTTTATCCATGTACCTGTTGTGGTCTGTGGTGGCGTCTACCCCTTGGCTATTGTGAGTAGTGCTGAGGTGAACACAGATGTGTATATAACTCTTCCAGACCCTGCTTTAGATTCTTTTGATATACCCAGAAGTGGGATTGCTGGATCGCATGGTAATTCTATTTTACTTTTCATTTTCTTATTCTCAACATTATTCAGGTGTTCTGACTTGTTTTAGATGAAACAATAATTTATGCTTCCTGTTCCAAACATATAGCAATAAGAGAGAAAAATGCAAAGAGAATACAAAGAAGATGAGGATGGGTCAAAACTAAGACCAATAGCATCGTGAACACAAAGAACACACACAGAGGGCCAGCCGGCCGACAGCCTTGAGCACCATGGTGGCGGAGAATTCTGCTCTGAAGGCCGCTCACGGAAGGGGGTCTGGCACAGGGAGCGCAGGCCGGCTGCGTGGCTCGGGGGCCGGTGGCTCCCTCGCCTGTGAAAGAGGCTGGGGAACGCGTTGCCAGTTACGCAGCCCACAGCGAGTGGAATGCCGTGAAATCAGCACCGAGCCAAGTTGCCTGCTAGCTCTGTGCTGGGAGCTGCCATTAGAGGGCCTGACTCTGGCCTTCACACACCTGCAGACTCCCGGCAGGGAAGGGGAGCACACAGGAAGAGGGGGACACGACCCCCTCGTCCAGCAATGAACACATCTTTCCCCTAATTTACAAAGCAGATTTCCTGAAGACAGGAAGGATTTTTATGTAGAGAAATAAAACTATTGAAATCAGCACTCAGAGCATTAATATATCTAGATAAAAATAATTTTATATAGAGCTTGTCAGAGACTAAAGTGACTGCATTTAGGACATTGAAAGAGCTAAATAGAAGAATACCAATTTTAAAGAATAAGGAATTATGAAATAAAAAACAAGAAGTGAAACAATAGGTGGGCATAAAATAAAAAATTAGGAATCTCAAAAACGAAAACAATATATGAAATACAGAAAAAAATTTGAAAGAACAATTAGGAGACACAACGCATAGATTAAGAGGCCAATATGTAAATAGCAGTCCATGAAAAGAATGGCGAGAACTTCACACAAGGGATATTTGAAGACATTAATAGGTAAGGGTTTTTCAGAATTGCTAAAACACAAGGGTGCTCAGTTTGAGAGTACTGAGCTGAATAACATAAACAAGTTCACCAGACATACCATAAGACCGCAGAATTACATGGATAATCTTAAAAGCTACCGTAAAAGAGATGAACTGCACATGAATAAGATTATACTGACCACAGGCTCCTCGTCAGCATAGATGCTGCCAAAAAATAAGGATGGGAGTTACGTCCTAACACACACTGAGGGGAAAGTAATGCAAACTTTTACTTCCAGCAAACTCACCCAAAAGATAGGACATGCAAACATTTAAAGGCTAAGCAAATTTGCCTTGAGACCTTCACTAAAGAACTGCTGAAGAATATGCATCCGCAAAAAGAAAAGCGAACCTGGAGAGGAGAAAGTGTGGGGTGAAAGAAACAATGGAGGCCCTGGCTGGGTGACTCAGTCGGTTGGAGTAAGGTCCTGACACACCAAAGTTGTGGGTTCGATCCCCAGTTAGGGAGCATATTAGAAGCAACCAATGAACACATCAAGGAGTGGAAAAACAAATTGATGTTTTTCTGTCAAGTCAATTAAAAAACTACAACAACAACAATAAAGGGCCAGGAATCAAGTATGTATCAGTGACAATATTCTAAACTACAGTAACAGGCTTGGGCAGGGTTGATCAGCCAGCAGTCTGAACGTGCTAAATTTCAAGAAATCTTTAAAGATCAGTATCACACAAGCCACATTTACTGACTAGAAAGCAATTAAATTATAAACCAACAATAAAAAGATTATATATATTCTCATATAACCACACATAATCATAATCATATGTATCAATATATGATTGTGATATATGATATATAATATTATCTATAGGAATATATATAATTCACATTATTCATGGTAATGTTCTGTAAAGTGAGTGCAAACACACTAGTTGACATTGCATCCTTGTTCTTAGGGTATATACAGGTTTAACCTCTGGTCATGTTTTCAGCAACTGAGCAATACATAACCTTGTTTTATGTGGGTTTCTGTATAAAGACACCTTATTTAATATACTACTGATTCATTAACATTGAACTCACGGCCAACAACACTCTAACTCACACATGAATGAAGTTTCTCGAACACGTGTATTTTCTCCACAAGGCACGTTATAGACTTCTTGTGCTTAGCATCACTGGACAGCACTACAGCACCATAACTAGAGTCCAGTTAAAAAAGCAAACTCACCAACAAAAATCACGGGATTGAGAACAATGTGGCACTGAATATTTCAAAAAGGACAGTTTTTTACAGTATTAGCTGAGACAAGAAGGCAGAGGTTCACCTTCTTCAACCTCAGTTGGCAATGTGTGTGCGTGTGGATGACAAATTTTTCACTGCTCTGCAAATACCCATGTCTCTGAATGACAACAAAAGCACTGCAAGTATTCACCTGGGGTTCCAAGCACATTTTAGCAAGTAGGCAAGTATGAATCCTGCGGATAATGAGGATTGACTACACGCACACATTTGCGAACTCTAAAATACATGCACCCCTAATACCTCATGGATTAAAGAGGAACTCACACCCTGATCAGAAAGCTCAGCTGGTTGGAGCAATGTCCCAGGACACTAACGTCGTGGATTCGATCCCCGGTCTCGGCACATACAAGAAACCACCAATGAATGCATCAATAAGTGGAAGAGCAAATCCATGTTTCTCATTCTTTCTCTCAAATCAATAAAAAAATAAAAAGGAACTCACAATGGAAACTTAAATTACTTACAACTGAATGACAGTAGAATTATATATCAAAACTTACCAGGTGCAGCTAAAGGAATACTTCAAGGGAAATTAATAGCATTAAGATGCATTTTTTAATTGATGAGAGGGAGAGAGGAAGTGAAAGAGAGAGAGAGAGAGAAACATTGATTTGTTGTTCCACTCATTTATGCATCCATCGGTCACCTTTTGTATGTGTCCTGACCTTGGTGTATTGGGAGGATGCTCTAACAAACTGAGCTACCTGGCCAGGGTAGCATGCATTATTTTTATAATCTGAAAAAAAGGTAGAAGTTCTTGAAAATCTATGACTTCTAGGGTGTATAGAACAGCAGTACTAACGCTCAGGGACAGAAGCCGAACTTCTGTGAAAGGCTGTTGGTCAGGGCCCTGAGGAGCCAGGAGTCTGGGACACAGATCTGGAGCTGGGGGTCTGGGAAGTCGCAGTCCTCACCTTGGCCTGTGCTGCTTCTTTGCTGGTGAGCACGAAGAGGACATCGCCGGTGTGAAGCAGAGAAAAGGGCAGGTCCAGAAGGGAGATGTACTTGCGCAGCAGATTCACAGACTGGAGGGTGAGCACCCTGCACCCTGGCGGCAAAGGAGTGGGGAGAAGGGAAGAGCATTGTTGCTTCGGGGCAGATTTTCCTGAGCACCCTGCTGTCCCTTGGGGCTCAGGGCAGGGCCGGGCAGTGTGGGGGCTGCTCCTCGGCACCAAAGCTGCTCTTTGTCCCAGAGCACCTGGCCTGCTGCCCTCTCCCCGCTACGGGTCCTAGCAAGGGAAGGCGGGTTTCTAGAGGTTGGGATTTGGCTACCTCAGGGCCAAGGCAAAGGGACATGACCAGTCTCTAGACCTGGTTCCTGCACTGTCACGAAAGAACTGACTGGCTTTTTCTCATCTGTGAAATGACGTTGATAATGCGGGACCCGCCTGCCTCACAAGGTTGACATACACGAATCAAATGAACTGCAGTCATGTTCCAAAGGCCGCACGGCTTCGCAAGCCCAGTAAGCCCGCTCAGAAAGGGCGCACACTGCTTGTGTCTTCATTCGTTCACCTTCTTCCATCTCTGTGAGGGATGGACGTTCCCCCCACTTGCAGACAGAGACCAGCTCAGCGAGGAGAAGCATCTGTGCCACACAGTGAACGAGCAAGTGGGGGCAAGCACCACCCTTTGACTTAGGAAGAGTTTTTAACTCGAGCAGATTAATCCATCGAGCACCCATCACTCACAACCTGGCTAATGACTGGGGGATGTCAGCTAAGATGGACAGACGGAAAGAACAGGTGGAAAGATGGTGAGGGAGCCGGGCAGGTAAGTGGGGAAGGCTAGTGTGGTTTTCCGTGTCACTTGCACCACAGGGCGCACAGATGTTTGGCGACACATTGTTTCTGGGTGCGCGTGAGGGCGTTTCTGAAGGAGATGTGCATCTGAGTCAGTGGAGCAGGCCGCCCGCCCCCGGGGGGGTCTCCCCGGACAGCCGAGGGCCTGACCAGCGCGGAGGAGGGGAGGCCCGACTGAGCCTGGATGCGGTGTTTCCTGCCCTCAGGCTGGGGTTACATCATCGGCTCCCGCTTGCAGGCAGCCCGATCATGGGACTTCTCATTCTCCATTACTGCCTGAACCAAGTCCTTATAATAAGTAAAGCAATAAATAAAGAATCCCCTATTGGTTTTGTTTCTCTGGAGAATCCACACGAACACCCTCAGCCTCCCCCTGCATGTGGAGGCTGCCTGGCTGGTGGGCGCTTCTCAATGGATACAAACTGGTTTTGAGACTTGGGGACCTGCACTGACGGAAACACCCAGCCAAGTTAGGGTGAGGGTGGCCAGTTTTCCCACCCCCGCCCCACCTCTGCTTGGCCTGGGGCAGCTCTGCATACATATTCACAAATCTCACACTAACAAGTTTGCTAGCAGACCGTGGCTTTACCTTATCCAGCGGCCTTTGGCACGAGGGACGGGCCTTACCTTCAGGTAACCTCCCTTCTGAGTGCAGGGTCCTGGAGGGGGCAAAGGACAAGATGGAGAGGAGTTAGACCCCTTTGCAGGTAACAGGAAGTCCCTCAGAGTAAGCCGGCCGCACCCTACGGTCCCTCCAGGTACATTTCTAGGTAGTTTCTTTTGCATAAATTGCCACACAGATTTATGGGATTCCCTGTCATGGCTGTAGCTGAAGGGACTGTGGTGGCACCTTACGCAAGGACAGCCGACGTGGAGGTTGGCCACGGCTTTCAAAAGGCCCTGGCTCAGGCTTTGCCCGCGAGAGGAAGGTGACTGCAGTGGGCTCCTGAGGCCCCTCCTCTTTTACATCTGTAATGTGACATGGTGGGAGAATATTTTAAAATATGACGTTTCTTCCCTGATAGTTCCTTTCCCCCTTGTGACCCGCCCCACTCCCCCCTCTGACAGTGACGCCAGCCTGTTCTCCTGCCATAAGAGGAGGAAGGAGAATGCCGTGCCCTCTTTGTGTTGAAAGCTGGGGGAGGGAGGACGACTTAGGTGGCCCCCAACACACAGACACGTAGACGCAGATGAAAAGGGGTCCTTGGGAGAGGTTAAGGAAGAGAGGTTGGGAGGGAACTGATACACCATGGGCCTGACTCCCCAGCAGAGCCCTGGGAACAGAGAAATCTGAAGAAGGGTTCTGGGATCCTGAGAGTAAAAGTGACTCTTCCTGCAGTCTGGACAGAGTCCCGGGGAAATTCTGAGTTTGAGTCGGTTAGGGTCTCCGAGGACAGGGCTGGGAGGCCAGTGCGGCGGAGAGAGGGGCCGCGCTGGAAGGAGCCGGTGCAGGGCGGGCACTGCGGACAGGGCCCGGGAGGAAGCCAGGAGGAGGCTGAGGAGTAGCCAGAGGGGCCAGAGGAGAGAGGACCAGCTGGCTCTACAGGTCAAAGCAGCACTTCAGCGAGTGACAGGCAGGGTCAGGTGCCACAAAAACCTTCAAGACAGATGAGGACTGAAATGAACCTAGGGAGTGTAGCAAACCATTTTTGTAAGTTGGTGAGAGTAGAAGGCAGGCAGAGGGATGAAAGCATGAAAGTAGGGGGACTTGTCCTCTGCTCAGAGGAGCATTAGTGCCTGGGGTTGGGGGCCAGCCCAGACTGAGGACAGTCCTCCGGCCCCCAACGGAGCGGAGGCCCAGACACGGGAAGGAAGGGGAGTTCAGAAGACAAAGCTTATCCCCTTGGCATTTCTGCTTGCAACTGAGGGGCTCATGCAGTTGCACCCAGGAGCGTTAGGGGACAGACAGGCGGAGAGGTGCGCCGAGGCCCAAGCAGCAGAGCAGCAGGTGGAAGAGGGCCTCGGGCTCGGCCCTCAGGGTGGCCCCGCGGCTGGGCCTGCTGGGACTCTGGGAGACGGCTCTGGCCGGTGGGTGGGCTCCCGCCTGGGGCTGCCTCTCCTGGGATGTGCTTCCTGTAATTTACATTGCAGCTGTGTGGTCCTCCCTGCCCAACAGTCTCCCTCCTTTGGCGAGGCTTCTTTGGTTTTTCTGGCAGCTTCCACAAGCAACCATCTATGGCAAGAAGAAAGGGCCAACAAGGCTCCTGGAAAGGAGTGGACGAGGAAGATAGTACTGATGATGCACTGGATGCCGTTCGGTTAGATGCTTTGTATCAATGCCTTGTTTTATTCCCTCAGAACAACCTGACCGGTAAGGTGTGAAGATCCTCATCTTTTAGATGAAACGAAGTAAGGCTCCTGAGGCCATTTCCTCCATCTCTCGCAGGCTTGCTTCCTAAAGTGCAGTGAGGTGCCCCGCAGAGCACTGGGAGGGGACAGGAGACCCAGGTCCTAGGGTCTGCTTCATCCCCGGACAAATCACTCCTCTTTTCAGACTGTGCTCGTTCGGGAAGGACTGCAGGAAATGACTTTGGAGCCTTGCCCTGCGCCATGACGTAGGTGACCGCAGACGGACCTCCCCGCTGGGTAAAGCGGCCAGCGCTCTGTTTTCAGATGCGGAAAGGACACAGCTGACAGAGGCTGAGATACGGGGCCATGCCTGGGGGAGAAGGGGAAGAGATGGGACAAGCCCGGGAAGAGACGGACCTGGGGGGGGGGGGGGTGCGGGCCTGACAGCAGTCAGGGCTGCGGGGTGCAGAGTGAAAGGATCAAATTGCAGAGGCTGATCTCTGCTTCTCAATGGGGCGCCATCAGCCTCAAGGCAGCTGTGCCGCGCACAGTCCGGGAGCTTTCTGACGGACCCATAAATCCAAACCAAGTCTGAGGGGAAAGCACATGGGATGGGGGAGCTCAGACACGCTGGGATAAGAGAACTTTTTTGGAAACAATGTAAGACGCTGGTACCAGGAAGCTTTTTAGGGGGCGAGGGACTGCAGCAAGGTCATTTTCAAAGGAGCACGTACTTTGGCATATCGGGAAATTGTTTTATATCAAGCACAGTGGCTGAGGACACAGAAGTATTAAAAAACTGCGGCACTCCAGCCTCTTTCGAGTAAAATGGCCCCAGGCAGTCCTGTCTGCAGAAAGCTGTCCTTGGGCTCCTGACCAGACTGACACCTCTCCCGCGTTCCCCACTCCTGCGGGGGGGCCTGGGAGGGGACCCACCCGGGAGGGGACCCACCCACCTGCGGGGGGCCTGGGAGGGGACCCACCCAAATTCGCTTTACGTGCCCTGCAACTCCGTCCAGGAGCTCTTGGTTTGTTTGTAACAGATCCAATCTCATCTTTTCTCTGGGGCAGCGTGGTGAAAACTGGTAAGGCTCAGTGTGCGTCCGGAACGAGGTGGGGCCGCTGCTTCAGTTCTCTGCGGGGCTGACTGTCCACTCCCGTCTTGGAAGCCCAAGGGAATAACCACATGGTTGGTTGGAAAGACCATTCCTGGGCTACCTCATTTTCCCATTTATCTTCACTGAAAATTGCATCTCTGGCCCTGGCCAGGTAGCTCAGTTGGTTAGAGCATGGTCCAGATACAGCAAGGTTGTGGGTCTGACCTCTGGTCGGGGCACATGCAAGAATCAACCGACGAATGCATAAATAGGTGCAACAACAAATGGATGTTTCTCTTTCTCTCTCCTTGTCTCTCACTTCCTCTTTCTCTCTCTAAAAATCAATCAATAATTTTTTTTTTTTAATAGCATCTCTGACTGTAACCAGGGAATGTGTCTTTCCTTAACTGGAAGGGTCCTAGAGCAATTTCAGGTCGTCTGTACGAGTATGGCCTCCGGCTGGGACAGGACGTGAACCGTCTTTATGGGGGCAGGGCATTCCTGCCTGCCCTTGTTCCACAGTCAAGGAAACAGGAGGGACAGTGTGACAGGCTGTGTGGGTAGCAGTTCACAGCATCCTCCAGTAGGGAACACACAGTTTAGGGACACCGCTGGAAGGCCCTAAGAGTGGATCAGCCTTTAGAGGGGGCTGAGGAGGTAATAAGTGGACACCTAGGATTCCTGGATTCAGAGTTGCCTCTGCCGTCCTTCAGCCTCGCAGCTCTGGTGAAATGAGGAGGTTGGACAGTCTATCTTCACATATTTCTCTGCTCCAGTCTGAGAATGTTGGGCTTGTGAGAAGAAGGTAATAAGGGAAGACCTTCACTTCAAGTTGCCATGCTCCTTCCTCAGCAGCCAGGCCACGTCCACCAGCTGCTGCTCCTGGTGCCCAGGGGAAGCACTGCTAGGGGGTGGGAAAGGTGACATATGTTTGTAGGACCCTGAGTAAGTCCCTAACATCTTCGAGGTTCAAGTCAGTGAGCAGGATAATTGAAGCACAAGTGAGACTTCCTGTTATGTATCTTCCTATCTCCAAAGAACAATTTGCGATATGTATAAAGTATACAACAGACGATAGCAAAATAAATGCGAATGGGGGAAGGAAAAACGATGGAACTTGGAGGCACATGGGTTCACAGAGCTCAGTCCTTAGAGTCTCCTACGCGTGCTACAAAGGGTAGCAAATCTGGCCCTAAAGCTTTCTGTGGCCAAAGCAAATAATTAAATCAGACTTCTGGCCAAGATGGAGGCATAGGTAGCTACACTTTGCCTCCTCACACAACCAAAAGGAAGAGTATAACAAATTTAAAAACAAAAAATAACCAGAACTGCCAGAAAATCGAACTATATGGAAGTCCCAGAACCAAGAAGCTAAAGAAGAAACATTCATCCAGACCTGTAGGAGGGGTGAAGAGGGGCAGCCGCGGCAGGGAGGACATGCGGAAAGGCAGCAGCGGGAGGACTGGGCAGGTGAGGTGGCAGCTGGTGGATGTGACAGTCCCATGTTTGTGTGCAGATAAACCATGAGGAACAGCTGGGGAGCGAGACAGTGCAATCTAGGGTTCCAGTGCAGGAAAAGAAAGCCTCAAAACCTCTCGGTGTAAAAATCTGTGGGGATTGCGGTGGCAGGAGAAACTCTGAGCCTCACAGGAGAGTTCTTGGAGAGACCCACAGGGTCCTAGACCGTACACAAACCCACCAACCAGGAATCAGCACCAGAAGGGCTCAATTTGCTTGTGGGTAGAAGCCAAAGTGATGAGAGCCGGCAGAGAGCCGAGCAAACGGCATTGTTCTCTCTCAGACCCCTCCCCACATACAGGGTCACAATGCAGCCACCTGGGTTGCCCCGCCCTGCTGAACACCTAAGGCTCCACCCCTTCCAACGTACCAGGCCTGCTGAGACAAAGAAATATGGCCCAGAGGAAAGAACAGATCAAAGCTCCAAAAATAGAACTAAGTGATGAACAGATAGCCAACCTAGCAGGTGCACAGTTCAAAACACTGGTAACCTGGATGCTCACTGAATTGGTTGAGTATGGTTGCAAAAGGGAGGAAAAAGTGAAGGCTATGCAAAGTGAAATGAAGAAAAATATACAAGGAACTAACAGTAAAGGAAAGGAAACTGGGACTCAAATCAATGAGGGAGCAGAAGGAAGACATAAACATTCAACCAGAACAGAATAAAGAAACAAGAATTCAAAAAACCGAGGAGAGGTTTAGGAAGCTCTGGGACAACTTTAAATGTTCCAACACTCAAATCATAGGGGTGCCAGAAGGAGAAGAGGAAGAGCAAGAAATTGAAAACTTATTTGAAAAAATAATGAAGGAGAACTTCCCCAATCTGGCCAAGGAAATAGATGTCCAGGAGATCCAGGAAGCTCAGAGAGTCCCAAAGAAGTTGGACTCCAGGAAGCACACACCAAGGCACATAATAATTAAGTTACCCAAGATTAAAGATAAGGAGAGAATCTTAAAAGCAGCAAGAGAAAAGGAGACAGTTCCCTACAAAAGAGTTCCCTTAAGACTATTAGCTGATTTCTCAAAAGAAACCCTGCTGGTGAGAAGGGGCTGGACAGAAGTATTCAGAGTCATGAAAGGCAAGGACCTACATCCAAGATCACTCTATCCAGTGAAGCGATCATTTAGAGTGGAAGGGCAGATAGAGTGCTTCCCAGGTAAGGTCAAGTTAAAGGAGTGCATCATCACCAAGCCCTCATTAAATGAAATGTTAAAGGGACTTATCTAAGAAAGAGTAGATCAAAAACTATGAATAGTAAAATGACAACAAACTCACAACTATCAACAACTTAACCTAAAAAACACAAAAACAAACAAAGTAAACTAGAACAGGCACAGAATCACAGAAATGGAGATCACATGGAGAATTATCAGTGGGGAGGGAGCGGGGGGAGGACGTGGGGAAAAGGTACAGGGGATGAGAAGCATAAATGGTGGGTACACAATAGACAGGGGGAGGTTAAGAACAGTATAGGGAATGGAGAAGCCAGAGGGCTTCTGTGTACGACCTGTGGACAGGAACTAAGGGGAAGGGGAGTGCTGGGGGAGGGGCAGTGCAAGGTGGAGGGGAATAAAGGGGAGGGAAAAATGGGAAAACTGTAATAGCATAATCAATAAGATATATATTACATATAATATATATAAATTAAATCCATTACCCCTTTGCTGTGGCCATGGGGTAAAATAACAAACCCTCAGCTGTGTAGGGGATGAAACAATAATTGAGACTTGGAGAGAGTTCCCAAAGGGAGGCCGTGGTGAGATGCAATCAGCATCATGGGCAACGCTGACTCTCTGATAATAAAGTTTCTTGGGGCTCAGACAAGGAGGGGGCAGCGCCTTAGAGACGGCGCAGCAGCCGGAGACCAAGGAGCAGGGCCCTCTCCCCGGACCACCGGAGAGTAATACCTCACAGCTGCGTGCAGAGCCACGTGGTTGCTGTGCCCGCTGACGCCCCCTGCGTCGAAAGTCACCACCTGCGGAGAAACAGGGGGCTCGGCTCAGGCTTGGATCCAGGCCATCTGTCCCCCCATACCGTGGGGAAGGAGAGGGGAGGGAGGCCGTGGAACTTTTCACGTTCTGGTTTCATCTGCACTGACTCCGGCTCAGATCAAATCGAGTGCAACCATCGGTTTGGCCACTCGTGGGGAGGCTTTTCCATCGCGGGGTCTTCCTGTTTACTCTTGCTGCTGGCCGGTGGAGCGGAGTGGAATTCGGCCCCCACAGAAGCCGGGGCTCAGAATGCCTGTTTCTTATCTGCCTAGCCAGTGATGCGCACATGTACTTTTCCTGGCTGGCTGCCCTGTGAACTTTGTTCATGTCGGGTGCTGCCTGATTCACTGGGTCTCTTTTCCTTGTGCCTTAGCACAGAAAAGCTTTAGGGGACACTTTCCACATGGCCCGGGGTTAAGTTCACAGGCGAAATGCGTTTATTCGTAGACTGCCTCTGCTTCCATGTTCACAACTATAGATCTGCTTATTAACTAAAAGCTTAGTCTAGGTTCCAGCATTTCATGTCTGTAGAGATGGATTTTTAAAAAGCCCAAGGAACAATAAAAAAAAATAATAAAAGGATAGCTTGAATAATAAAAGAAATACAGGGTCTGGTACAAATAACACCCTTTCTTAGAAAATCTTTTACTACAAAATCATACGCATGTAATTCTGCAACATAACAATATCATACTCCAGCACAGCATAGGACGTTTTAGGTGAAATGTTCACATTAAAACTATAAATCATTACACCCATATTATTACCCTACCAACTATACTCAAGCAGGCCTTACTTCTGCTGGACGCTGTATTTTAAAGAAATCAAGGACTCAGAAAAAGGAATAGCAGTGGTTGGTTAAGGGTGACGGAGAAAGAAAGGCAAGCTGTCCCCAAGGAATGAAGGTGACCACACAGCATGGGCAAGGGGACCAGGAACGAGGCTTGGAAGAGGCTGGGAAGGGATTCACTGTTGGTGATTCTATACTAGACCATTAAACATGTTGACTCTGGGCAGCTAACTTTTAGTAGGCACAGGCTGGAGGGTAGGGCTTCAGATTAAAAGAAAATTTAAAGTCCTGCCAACTGGTCCTGATTCAAACAAGCTGCAAAAATAAAAACAAAATAAAAACACATTTATGACATGAGACTATTGGAAATGCAAAACAATGATATTAATTAATTTTAGGTGTGCTAATGATATAGTTATGTTAATCAAAGACTCGATGTCTTTTAGAATTGCATACTAAAGTATTTAAATATGAAATATGATGGCAAAAATTTGCTTTAAAATAATACAGGAGGTGGGGAGGAGTTTAAATGAAAATAGTATTGACTATGTGTTAATTATTGAGGCTGAGTGATAGGAACACAGAGGTTCATTAAACTGTTCTCTCTACTTTTGTATGCTTGAAATTCTCTATAATGAAGTTTAAAAAAATCTGAGTTAAAGGTTTATAAAAAGCTAATCATATAATGGGGATATATGTCATTATACATTTGTCAAAATCCATGGAATATATGACATCAAAAATTGAACCCTAACGTAAACTATGGGCTTTGGGTGATGACAATGTGTCATGTAGGTTCACTTATTGCAACAAATTGTGGAGGACAGGGGTTAGAGACATACTTTCTGCTCAGTTTTGCTGTGAACCTAAAACAGCTGCCTATTATGTTGCACACCTGAAAATAATACAGTGTATGTCACCTGTAATTAAATTTCTTTTTAAATTTTAAAATACAGTCTATGAAAAAAGCCAGTTAACCATATAACTCAAGTACTGATCCCATTGTTTGATGCAACGCTTGCGGTGCGGGGGCGGGTAGGGGCGGAGGAGTGGGGACGGGGAACTGCCACTGCTCTCCTCCTCAGTACTAGTTAACCCCAGCCTGTTGGGCAAGTCACAGAACTTTACCACTGGAAGCTGTTTCAACTTTCTTTTTTAAAAAAAAAAGTTTATTGATTTTAGAGAGAGAGGAGAGGGGGGAGAGAGAGAAAGGGAGAAATATCAGTGTAAGAGAGAAACATTGACCAGTTGCTTCCCACATGCGCCCTGGGGATGGAACCTGAAACCTAGGTATGTGCCCTGACCAGGAATCGAACCCCCAACCCTTTGGTGTAGAGGACGATGCAACCAAGTGAACCACACCAGCTAAGGAAGTTATTTCAACTTTCAGTGTCTTGGTTTTCCCATCTGAGAGGTCAGAAATATAACACCTGCCCTGCTTTGCTCATTGGGTTGATCTGAAGATAAAATACGCCACATGGGGGTGTTCAGAGCCATACAGCAATAAAGGCTAGAGTGTCAGAGCTCTAAGTCCCTGCCACCGGACAGAGCAGCGGGTTGGGGCCAGGTTGTTATCACAGGCATGCCGGAGGGCATGCTCTTGGTAGGGGATTTGGGGACGTGTTGAGTTTGGCTCAGGCATTTTCAAATTCTCCGAGGTCTTTGTTTCTTTCTCATTTCACATCTTTTTTTTGGGGGGGGGGGTGGATTTTAATTATTTTCAAAGGCTCAGGCAAAGTCTAGTTCTTTCCAAACTGTCAAGTTTATCTTCAACTTATAAAAATGTTTCTCTAGATTTCAATAACCAGTGAAAATATCAAGAATAAGAAAAAGTTCGTCCTTTGCAGGTAATTTAACTATTCTTTTACCTATCCTTAAGATTTTCTTTCTCTTCGGAATGCTGCAGCTTCATTATGATATACCGACATATGGATTTCCTTATATACTGTGTGGGAGTCATCAGGCTTCTTGAAATGGTAGGTTAAGGTCTTTCTCATTCTGGAAAGTTACCAGCTATAGCCCTTCAAATATTTTCTCTGCAACCACTCTCTTGTCTCCCCTTTCAATAAATGGCAGGACAAGAAGACAAAATAAAATAAAATAAATCAGTAAAAACATAGAAAATTAAAAAATATATGATTAATAAATGACAATGAACAAATATAAAGGGCTGTACCCAAAAATTGCAGAATTTTTTTCAAAAAGACCCAGGTCTTTTTCTAAAAATTGACCATTTTGTGACCCATAAAGCAAGTTGTCCACATCTTCTCATAATCTCTTTTTTCTTGTTGCTGCAAGGAGGGCTGAGCCGAGTTGTGTCTGACTCCCTGGATGTTTGCAGACTTGTGCTTCGCTCCTGTAGGTCTTTACAGGCCCCATCCACCACCCCTCTAAGCTGCGGAAATCTTTGTTCAAATGAAATCTGACCCAGTGCCCAATAGACAAGAGACAGCAGTGGCTATTGGCTTCTCTGAGACAGCTCTGGCTTCTCTGAGACAGTGGTCCTCACCTGGGGCAGTTTTTTTCCCCAGAGCCATTTGGCAATGTCTAGAGACAATTCTATGTGATGAATGAGGGGGGTTTTTAGTGGGTAGGCAGGAGGTATTTAGTGGACACAGTCCAGGGATGCCGCCAGGCAGCCTACAATACCAAGGACAGCCCCTCTAACAAAAAATCATCCCACCACAAAGGTCCATAGTGCCACCGAGACATCCTGCCCTACGGGAGCAGGAACTAGGTGTGTCTGGCTTGTTGCTGCAACCCCAGTTCACAACAGACAGTGCATTTCCCATAGCAGGTGCTCAGTAAATATTTGTTGAATGAAAGACAGAAGCAGGGGTTGGGCAGGGCCCCAGGCTGTTTTCTGTAGAGGGCAGAAGTGGCCTTTCCGCAGCTCTGTCCTGCTGGCTGTTCTACGGGATTCTCTCAATGCTGCTGCAGGGAGTGGGACGGGGTGGACAGCTCAGCATCCGGCAGAGCCGGGACCAGGCAGAACCCAGATTCCTTCTAAACGCTGTGCTAATGGTGCAGAGCCAGCTTTGGCCTTGGACATAGGAGAGATTTTTCTGGCATCATCCCAGCTCAGCCCAGGTGACAGCCACCTTCCTGTGACTGAGCTCTGTGAGCCACATGTCTGTTCATGCTTCCTTGTTGGTGCTTCAGGTTCTCTGATTGTGCAGTCGCCACTGCTGGTCTAGACATGGCACCGGGGCCCGCCCAAGGTCTGTGCACTCAGCCTGGTACAGGACTCTGCCACAGAGTGACCCCTCGCCTGCCTAGCGTTAACCCTCCTCCTGCCAGGATTGTGGGTCTGTATGAAAGGAAGGCCACGCTTAGCTCCACTGTGGCCACTCAGGTCCACACTGGCCGCGGGGTCAGGAGGGCCTTCTACTTCTATTACTGCATGAAGTGCAACCAGGGAAGTTAGCCCCAGTGCACTGTGAGAGCTTGAGAGTTTCCTTAATAACAGCAAGGTATATTAAACAGCTTTTTAAAAGAAAGGATTTCCTTGTTCACAGAAATTAAGTCAAGATTATGCTGAAAACAGAGGGGCCCCCACCCCTCGGAATGAATGTGCACAGACAGCCCTGAAGGGCCTCTAAGCTGCGGGGGCGGGGAGGGCGGCAGCTCCGGGAGGGGCGCAGTCTGCACCGCGGAGCAGGCCTCTCCTTCCCAGGCCTCGCAGTCTGGTTCACAAACACGGTCTGCACTTCAGAGGACAAAGAGCAGCTCGTGTCACCGGTGTAAGACACACAGCCACCACTGTAGGAATCCCAGGAGAGCTGAAGAAGTCAGGGAAGGCTCCCTGGAGAAGGCAGTCTCGAGGGGATCCTGGACCACAAATCACTTTTCTGGGACACAAACTTGGGAGACTTTTTCGAGGGCAAGAATGGCAGAGCGGTCTGTGCCCTGAAGATCCTCCCTGGATGGTCAGAGCCAAGGCCGGCTGCAGCGTGGTCTAAGAGACCTCCAGCCCCTCAGTAAGGACCAGTCCTGTTCACCAGTGCTCCCTACTTAAGTAAGGGCCCATCAAAGAAAGCCAAGTTTAGAGAGAGAGGGGTTTATCCTTCAGGCAGGAGTTATTGGGGAGATCTGCTGCTCTTACACACTGAAGTAGGGGAGGAGAGTATTTGGGGGCTGGTCCCGGGGACCCAGGGGACACTGCAGCCCACGTCCCAGACCTCAGTGGTTTACTTCGGGCTGGTCTCCATGGCTGGGCTTGGGAGCCCTGCGACGCTCTGACTCTGTGGGCTGGCGCAGTTAACGGGCAGGGAGTTTGACTCCTGAGCCCGTGGACGGAACCCTCTGCTTTTCACACTCACCCCCTGGTAAGGCACAGGTAGGACATGTGGACCTGCAAGCCGCTGGTGACCATTTTTCCAGCCAGGGAAAAAAAATAGAGTCAATGCAGAGAGCAAGAAAGAGACGGGCCCTGGCAGGGCGGGGCGCACCTGCCTCACCCCCCCGCACGGGATGCAGGGCGAGCCAGTTAGGTGCTCTTCTGTCATTCGGACACAGGCGGCCTCACTGGTAAGTCATGGAAAATCTGCTCTTATGAAAGGTCTAATTCACTCCATGAATTCATCACTGATAAAAGCCTAACATGTTTCTCAGCCAGAAAGATTCATCTTTTAATGAGGATTTATCAGTACTTAATTTTTGATATGATTGGGGATTTAAAGGGTCAAATTTTAGGTATTGACTCATGAAGGATTATTATTGGTTTAGATATGAACAGCAAGCCTCCTAGGCAGGCTGAGACCTGGCCACTGGCCAGGCCACTCCCGCGGACCCCGGGGAGCCGGCCGCGCGCTCCCGGGCCTGTCCTCCTCTGCAAGTGACGGGGATCTCCCCTGTTGCTCTGACTGTGACTCGGATGTCCTCCCTGTAGCCGGTATGAATTCATCCTTGTGTTCTTTGGAGACTGAGGCTTAAAATCCTAGTTTCGCTACTTGCCAAACTCGGGCTAGCTGTTTGACCTCTGGAAACCTCAATTCCCTTTATATAAAATGAGAATTATAACAACATTTACCTTTAAAGTTAAAACAATACAATAACTGCGCAAATGTTTGGTGAAAGGGGAAGCTCTGTACAAATGAGAGTTGCAGCGCAGGCTCCGGGGGACCTGAGTTTTTAGATGGCAGGACAGAGGTGGGGGAGGGAGAAGAGGACACAGTGGGAAAAACCTGTGCCTCCCAGTGCTGCCTCCGGGGTTACTTAGCTTCACAAAGGGTGCGCTGTCCTCAGGAGGCTGGGCCTCTTTCCAGCGCGGCCTGCAGGAGGGCTACGTGGGAGCGCAGCCACCGGGAACGTGAGAAGCATCCCCTTACCAGGTTGACGTCATTCACTTCTATGTGCCGGAGCAGGATGTCGGCCACACGCGCTGTGTCCCACTGCACACCTGGGTCATCTGGGAAGTCCCTGGAAGGAAGATGCAGAACTCGAGCACCGTTTCTCATGGGGCGCGGCTTCTCCCTAAGGTCTGGTGGGTGTCTGCCAGTCTTGTGACAGGAATTGTAGGGGAGATAGCTACCCTTAATATGCAGATTTCTGTTGAAAGCGGTGAAATTTAGAAATATGACGCCACTAAGTATCGATGGACAACTCCACACAATGCACTTTGGGAGCTTTGGGCTCGTTGCTGAGGGGAAAAAAACAGGTGTCAATGGGACAAGGCTTTGTCTACACTTTGGCGAGACAGATGTTAATGGCAAATCTGACACAAGGTAGAATGATACGCATCTTTATAAAAGTAATAGTAATAGTAATTGTGCTTTCATTGAAAAAACACAAAGTCTGTTACTTCATTTAACCTCACGAACACCTTTAAAGAGCCTTGACAGATGAAGTTAAGTAGTTTGTTTGAAAGTCTGTTAAAGTTGGTTTTGAACCCAGGTGTTGTGACTACAAAGCCAAGATGTTTTATCAGCAGGGAGCCGGCAACACCCTGCCTCCAGTGAGGTCACAGCATGTCACCTGTCTCAGGCGCAGAGGCCTCTGCAGGCCAATCTGCGCCACATCTGCATCTCCATTTCCTGCACCACAAGCCTGTCTCCTCTTCTGCTGCTTTTCGGTGCGTGGATCTACGGCAGCACCTGCTGTGAGGCCGAGGCCTCGACCGGCCCCTTTTTGAAGGCGTAACAGATAGAAGTCCACCTCTCTGTGGCTCAGGCCCTGCGGCCACCTGCACAGTGTGCCTCGAGGACACAGGCTCTCTGTCCCCCATCTGGCGGGCTGCTATCACCTCTGTGTGGACAAAGGCCATTAACTGACCCTCTTAGGGCTTTGGTCAAAGGACAGTCATTGAAGGTTTTTCAGCAGGAAGATGGCATGAACCTCATCACTAAAAAGTTATTTCTGTTGCTTCACTGCTACCTGTACCAAACCCCTAGCAGGCCTTCAGTGGAGGGCGGCTCTAGACTTTCCAAAGCAGTGTCCTGTCAGCTGCTCCGTGTGGTTCTCATACTGCTCCTGCAGTAAGCAGGACAGGCAGCCCCGCTGGGGAGGAGTAGGCAGGGAGAAAGAGACCAGTGCAGTCCAGCCTTACTCCTTGGAAACAGCCCTAAACATGGTATGTAGAACATGACCTGCTGAGCTTGACTGCTGAAGGAAAAATAGATACAGGAATCAGCGAAAATACCCTGGTGTGAGGACAGGTACACACCCCCTCCCGGTGGGGAGGTCCATAGGAATGTATCAAGGCATCATTTTGGACTCGATGTGTAAACCGTGCAACTGGTCTTGCTTCAGCGAGAGACAGGTATTCTAGAGCAACTGCTTTGCAGCTTGCTACCTTCCCAGATCTGTACAGACCTACAGGCCTACTGGGAATGGCAATAAAGTTACGGAGTTCAGAATTCCTAGAATCTTTCTTTAATTATTAGCCAAGTCCTTCATGGTTTTTATTGCCATTTGAATGAAAGAGCATGGAAATCTCTCAGATGCTGACATGCCTGGGTAAGTTTGCTAAGATGTAAAGCTGAGCAACCCTTTCTGGCTGAAACAGATGGATGCAGCGGGCCAAAACCACGCTGTGGCCAGCTGAAGCGCAGATGACAGCTGAAGCGCCAAGGGCCAGGGAGACCGGGATGGCAGTGGGCAGGGCAGCAAGGCGCTTAAGCGATGCGCCTCTTTTGGTTCAGGACACTTCCCGCCTCAATGGCACTGTCAGCTCAGAAATGATAAAACAAAATCTTTGCAAAACCTGGAAAGTCACACCCTGTACCTAGACTTCCTAATTTATAAACCTGAGGTCTTTCCTCAAAGTCTTCACTCTATGTCTCCAATCTGTAAGGTGGTAAATTGGGAATAAAGGCAGAATTTCAAGGTCCTCCACAAAGGAAGCTGGGAAACTGTATAAAACATTCAAAAGGTCTATTAAAGATTGTTTAAAGAAACAGGTATTCTACAAAGCAAAAAATGCAAGCTGCCAGCATATATTCTTCCAATGTTCAGAAAGAATCAAAGAAATGCTAAATTAAAGCAGGATATCTGTGTGGAGAAGGGCACAGGGAAAGGGGCTGTTCTATACTATTGATGTGAGTTTTTATTTTTTAAATTTTATTTATTTATTTATTTATTTTTGAGAGAGAGAGAGAGAGAGACCGACCCATTTATTGTCCTGCTGATTTATGGATTCACTGGTTTCTTGTATGTAGCCTGACCAGGGGTCAAATCCACAACCTTGGCTGAGGTACCCAGCCAGGGATGTTGGTGTGAGTTTAAATTGCTACATCGCAATGAGAGGGCATTTGGTTATATACTATTATTTGTGCCCTTTGACTTTATCTTTCTAGAAATTTAGTCTAAGGAACTAATCGGAGACGCCTAAGGCCCAGTCAGCTCCGGCAGACACCACTTTCACTGCGATTAGAAGAGGAAGGAGGCACGAAGTTTGGTTCTGCCTCCAGGGGGCAATTTCTCTAACTTCCTGTTTTGTGGCTTTAGCATGAAAAATGCTAAAGATAACAGTGTTTGGGGGCATGTTCAAAGCAAAAGTAAATAAAGTATAGATATACCCAAGGTAAGGAATGTTAATGCAAAACAAAACAAAAAACCCTCAAGTTACTGAAGTCTAATTTTGCTTTTCACTTCTCAGTCCAAAAGAATGAGACATATGAAAGAGGAATAGAAACGTATTCAGAGGAACTGAATTTTGAAAGCAAAATAAGTTTGTGAGAGAACTTTTAAGTAAAGGGCTCTGAATGCGTCCAAGTCCTCAGATACCCTACTCTAGATTCCCCAGAAAGCGAAGTGTAGGATGCACGCGCACTGGATTGGGGCGTGTGACCCCGGCAAGCAGGAGTGAGTGGCAGAGGGAGGGAGGCCCACACAAGATGCTTTATCGACCTAACGCTCCTTCTACGACTGTCTGAAAAGTTGTATGAAGCCTCTTAGAACTGCTCGTCTGTCCAGGAGGTGAAAGAGGGAAGTGTTTACACCCATGGGGTGCTAACTCTCCAATACTTTAGGGGAAGCAGGCTTGTGCACCTGAGCCTCTGAGCAATGGCAGAGAACACCTAAGGCAAAGAGGAAGGGGTGCGCGCTGGGCCGACGCCCCGGCACAGCCCAGGCCATGGCCGGAGGAGGCGTCCGGAGCGGCGCACACCCCTGCCCCGGAGTCTCCGGGAGCGGGCTCGGAGGGACCGCGCAGTCGCCCATCTAATCCACCGGATGAGCACGCACCGGCACAGGGCCGGGGACTGGGCGCAGGGATTCGACCCTGAGCACAGGTCCTGGTCCTTCCCTCAGGAGACTTCGGCCGGGGGCCGAGGTCTGCAGCACTGCAGGATGAGAAGGGTCTCGGAAGGAGAGCCAGAGGGGCGAGGGCAGAGTGAGAAAGAGCGCCAGGCGGTCGCAGCACCCTTCGCTCACGGCCCTGCCAGCAGCCCGGGGTCGAGGAAGCTCGTAAAGCACCTTAGGGAGACAACGGCATTGTGCTGGGCCCTGAAGACCTCCGGGGAGAACGAGGTGAGTGTTCTGAAAGCCATCAAACGCCACGGAGGAAGGCGACTCTCGCCGAGCTTCTGGTCGGAGAGCCACGGTCGGCACAGCCATTGCCCTGGGCTGTATTTGGCAAACGCCGTGGTAACGCCGCCGGGAAGCGCCCCGAACTTGGCCCGGCCCCAGACCTCGGCGTGCGGTAAACAAGCCGGGTGTCTCGGCCCAGGGCGCACAAACACGACGTCTGTGTTCCTACCAGCTGAGTATCCTCAAATGCCCACCTTTTCTACACGTTCGAGTGCCTCACCCTGGCGGCCCTGCTTAGGACCGAGCCAGGAGAGTCACGGAAACGCTGGGTGAAACCTGCGGGGGGTCGCTTTCCGCGGCAAGGAAAGCCCATCCCCTAGGCTCCCCACGAGGGAGAGCCCCGGCCCGCCTGCCCTGCCCCCGCCGCAGCCCGGCAGGAAGGGGCGCTGCCGCCGCCGCCAGGCCGCCGGCGTGGGTAGGCGCCGCGCTCTGGAAACCGAGCCCCACTTCTGCACACGGCCCTCTGAACCTCCGCGCGGGCGAGGCAGCTCGCACAGCCTTATTTGGTCGGCGCAGCCCAGCTGGAAGGTGCGGCCTGCCCCTCCCCCGCCACCTCTGGCACATTTCTAAACTTGATTACTTCCTTTGTCATCCCAGGCGGGCAAAGGTCATTTGAGTTTACTGAACACTGCCCCGGGAGAGCAGGCAGATTACCTGCTGCCTGCCGGTCCCAGGGGGCCCCAGGGCTCACACCGGCCCGGGGCGGGGGGCGGGGGGGTTCGGGGGGGGGGGCTCAGGGGGCGGTCGGAGGAGCAGGGCTGTGAGCGCGGCCGGAGCCACGAGAGCGCGAAGGCGGTCGATGGAGGCCTCAGGTGTGCTCTTCTAAAGCGGGGCCAGGCAACTTCTGGGGCTGCCTCGGGGTCACAATGACTAGCCTAAGATAAACAGTGAGGAAAAGAAACTTTAGAGCAAAAAGAGTAAAGGAGAAAGGAAAACAGAGAAAAAGTAAGAGGACTGGAAAAAAAAGGTGCATGCATTTAAAGTAATTTTTTTTTCCTGAGCATCTACTCTGAGAAGGGTCTAGGAAGCCAGACAAATACCAAATGCCCCAAGAGACCCTCGTCCATGCAAGGCTTAAAGCTCCCAACCCTAAGCATAAAATGGAGTTTTCCTTTCTCATAGGCCATAAAAGGGACTTGTAAATCATGGCTGTTAGGTATTATACTGAAATCAATTACACTACCTGTGCCCACTCCTCTGGGAAAGATGCATTTATTACTGCAAAAAATTAGTTTGCAAAGTTCATGTGAGAAATCTTTTTGCAAAAATTGCCAGTTTGCTGTTTCCTGTGGCTACTGAAAAACAGAAAAGAAACTGTTCACTGAACTCACTTCCAAGAGGTCATTGGACTCTGCTTGTCCCTAGTAGCCTCGAAAGAGGTGGTTCATTAA